CCGAAGAATTCTAATCGATTTTGAGAGCAAACACAATAGATCTGAAAAGGTCGCAGTGTGGAGGAAGATAGCCCGAAGGCCCCATTCCAAATCTAATCTAATCTAAGAGAGATAAGTAATAATTCATTGATATATCACAAACATTTTTGAACTCTCAAAGTTTCATTGCATAAAACTTGTATATTCTTTCTCCCGTTTTTTTTTTCTGCAGCTTCAAGGAAAGTTGCTGTCACTATACAAGTTGATTAATGTGTTGTTGTCGGTCTTCCTGTAATATCTATCAAATATTGTTGCCAAACACTCTGTATATGAACAATATAAGATTTCATACAATAATATTCACAATAACTCATCCAAGAGAAAAACTGTCATATTTGAGCTACAAATCAGAATATGTCTGGTCAGTAGTACAAATTATCACATTTTTCGAAAAAAAAAAATCATTTTCTCAAAAATTTAGAAAGATAAGAGGAAAATTGCGAAACCATTTCGAGGAATATGCTCGAGCATTATAAAAATATTTCATTTTTTGGGATATCGTTTGCGCATCTCAGTTGGGTGACGTGAGGTGACGATGACGGGAAATCTCACCCAAAAAAAGTGCTGAACGAGCCAAAAAAAGTTGTCACTTCTAAAATCACTATATCCAAATGATCTACTCACCGTTCTCCCTGACCTTCTCGCAATCGGAGGAGGAATTATTGGTCCTGGACGAGTCTTCGTCGAGTCTCTCGTACGGCGGCTCGCCCCCCTCGTGGACGGTCTCGTAATTGGGGTCACTTTGGCCGACCGACTCGTAGTTCGGATCGGACTCGCTGCCGTTCGATCTCACCTGAAGACGCAATCGCGGATGAAAATATCAGAAACTTCGAATGAGGAGTGTTTTATCACTTGCTTAACCCTATACAGGCTGATTTTAAAATAAGTGCATATATTTTAAACACTAAGAAAGCTTGAGGTATACTACCGAATAGCACTATTAAAAATATTATTAGGATCAAAATAGATTTGGGGCAAAATACCCTTTTTCCGCCCAGATTTCTACTTCTGTCACACCCAACTAGCATTTTCAGTCACAGGCACCATGGTTCAAGAAACTTTTACCTATATTTAGTGATAATAACGTATTTATCACTTATTTCAGAACTTCATAGTATAAATGTCAGTGATAGTTATTTAGTGAGTGAAAATTACGTAGTTTTTACACTAGATAATAACTTCAAAGTGAGAAATTCTCATGGCTTATTACGAAGTAACTATTTCGAAACTGTCACTCCTCAAAACTACTCTTAAGGTTTCGGAACTTTGGATATATTATTACGGTAACGCTTACCACCCCAAGAAGGCTTCACAGTTGCAATTACTCTATGGTCACCAATTAGGTTTCTACGACGTTGTCGTTACTTGATCGATCACCTAATAATTTAGTCAATTCTTGGTGATATTTCAAGTAACATATTGGTAATTCCTACTCAAACAATTCCTTCATAGTTGAAACAACTTTTCGGTAATTATATTCAGTTGAAGTTACCAATACATAGGTTATCATAACTGACGAGTTCCAAAAGTAACTTTCTGATTCATTTTCGATTGGAAGCCATATTGATTGATGTGATAACCATTTGAACAGGAAATAATTTTGGTTTTTCTTGTTGATAAACATCATTTTATGAAGAATAATAGCATTCGTTCGATCACAAATTGCATAATAATGGAAATTAACATGATTTACGATGATTTTTGAAAAATAGCCGAATGAAATAAAACCATATTTTTGGTGAAATGAGCAGTATTTTGTGGGCGCATCTTGAATTTCGAGGCAAAATCATCACATTTATCGAAAAACTGAATGTTGTTCGAATTTTTCAAGTTCGAGTATCAATTATTTCGCGTGTTTGTCCTTGTATTATTTATTGAATGGTTAGGCATATTGGACTTGTTCATTTTTCGTGAATGTGAACTTCATGGATGAAATGAAGAATAATAAAGAGAGAAAATAATATTTTTATGAAGTGGAAAAGAAATAGAAAGTCAGGTAGGAAAATTTACTACATCTTTACGTAATTTCGACGTCGACGGGTCGTAAGCATTACGTAATTGTGTGAGTTCCCGCTACGTCGGCAAACCGTAATAATTACTCGTGATTTGTTCCCCATTTTGGTCGTAAATACGTAGTAACGACGTAATTATAACGTAACCGCAACTAGTAAATATTACTTAATAGTCGACCCAATAGTCGTAATTACGTAATCGCGACTATAAATGCTAGTTGGGCAACTATCGTTTGCGATCCGCAGTCGACCGTGATGAACGAAGCGACGTTGCCACTCTACATGAAAATTAGGAGATATTAAATAAAATGTATAATCGAGAAAATGTACATGGGGAAGAAATTAACCCTGGTCTTGAATTTCAGAAAGATAATACAAAAACTTTAAAATGGACTCACCCAAGATTTCTACACATAAGCTCGAATAGCGTATACCTTAACACCTCACGGTTGGAAGTTCTTTTACTGAAAAATCCTTTAGACCCTTCCTTCCACCTCCTTGCATCGCTACAATTTCGTGTCCTTCGAGGAGTCTCATGGGCCCCGCACAATAACGACCCGACATAAGAACCATATCATTCAGTTCAATGTTTGAGAAATGCATCGTCACATTCCAAGCAAATTGTCAGAAACAAAACTTTACATTTACTAGTCAGTGTTGTTCCTGGGTCTGACTTTTTTGTAATAGATTTCCTTGGAAAAAGGTATCAGATTTGTATCAAAAGGTAATAGACTCGAAAAATCTGACATTTGACATTCGGAATGTCATTCTTGTCAAACCCTATCACACTAATCACAGTTTTGACATAAATATAGAACATAGAACGGAACATAATTATCCGCTGAGCACATAAATAGATTCATGACAAATCGTCACAGCAAAGAGGAAATCTATGGTCACAGATACTACTGTTCTGAGAAATGATGTTGACAGATCATATGATAATAGTTTTGTTTGTATGGTTGCTGGTTTGTAAAATAATTGTAAACGTAAAATAAAAAAAAATAATTGGATGTTGTGTCTTGTGTCGTGATAATCGTGATATGGTCGTGATCGTGGTTTTCAATGTGAGATTGCCAGGAAGGATATGTCGTCGTCGAGTCGTTTTCGATGGTTTAAGTGCGAATATGAACCAACAAGAACATAGGACGATATTAGTCTGGAATGGACTCGATATTAGTATTTGTTTGCTCTCGGGAGTTTTGCTGTTCGAGCAGGTATGAGAAAATCTACTAGGTGAGTCGATTTTCAACTTTGTGTATGTTGTGTACCTACTTATTGTCTGCTAATTTTGTATCTATCCGCTGGGGCCTTATTTTCGAATTGAAGGAAGGGGGGCGTTCTATCATTCCCCTCATGTTTCTCTCCGTCTCTCGTGATCCATGGAGATAATCACCCCACAGTTCTCTCAGTAAACTTTAAAAAATAAGGCTCCTGTACATATTACATTCACCTCTATTAGTTTCCATAACCTATTCCAATTCATATTCATTCTGTGAGAAATTTTTATCAGGATATTCGTCTCTGAAACAATCTGGCAGCACTGTCTTGTTTTGACGTTAGTGAATGACGAATTGGGGATTACCTGGGATTCCGCCGATTTCACTTGCTTCCCAGTGGCGTACTCAAATTTCGAAGCATTTTATGTTCAATTTTCAAAATGAAATTTCTCGTTAATGTGAAGACTTAGGAAAAATCAAATATTTTAGTAATTTTTGTTAGGCTCTCTCATATATATGTCTTGAATATATGCACTCATTTTAAAATCACCCTGTATACTAGTTTGGTACAAGTTTCACCCTATTTAGTATAAGAGGTTTTCAATTGTTGTTGACATGACGATATGTTGTTGAAATATAAAATGCATGGAACATATTGGTCCTTCGAGCCGGATTTATTCAAATCAAACCCTCAAGACTGCCAAGTTATTCACAAAGGATACAGATCAGCATTCAAGACTACCTGGAGTAACAGTGGATGCCAAGCAGCTAGAGCATTCACATGTAGCAACAGGCAGTTCAAGCTAACAAGGAGAGGAGAAAGGAAGAACGAAGAGAGAAGAGAGAGGACAGAGAGCGCTTCAGTCGAATTTATCCCTGTGCTCGTCTTCCGATAAAAAAAACAGATTTTCTATTGCAACTAGATACCAACAAGATATGTGGACTCCTATCATTCGACTTAACGAAGGCATTTGATACTGTAAATCATGAAATTACCTTGAATGAATAGTATTGTATTGGTCTAAGAGGTCCTGTCTACGACTGGTTTCAAAATTATTCAAGTGATAGGAAACAATGTGTATTCAAGAGAATCTAAAATTTGTTCTAAAATCATTCAGTAAGAGCGATGAAATGATATGCGGTGTGCCGCAAGGATCAGAATTGGGTGCTATTTGATTTCCTATTTATATCAACTCTATTGCGAATTTGAAGTTAAAAGATAGAATTTATATATTTGCCAATGACGCAACCTTATTCTATTCAGCAGGTTCAGTACAACAAATTGGGGTGATTTGAAAATATTATTATCATGGTTATCATATTATAAATTGAGTCTAAGTTATAGTACCCTATTTCACCACGAACTATGGAAATAATTCACCCATCAGCAAACTAAAGAGGAATTACAACTCTTTCTTCAGTCAGATTGACATATTCAATATCACCTTGCAAAGCTTAAAAAGTATATCATACTCTATACTGGGTCAGCAGCAGTGACAGTGAATTAAATATTTCCAAATAATAGAATGTAAATCGTTTGAAATTAAAATTCTTATCTATTGCATAACATAAAAATCTACTACTATTAAGGCATTTGTTTAGCATATCAGGTATCCCTTTTTTTTGTATAAGTTGTATTTTGCTCTCTCGCTATTGCTTTTATACTATTATAGTAAGACTGATTTATTTTATTTGAAATTATTTCCTTCCAGCGACCCTGTTATAGGCATTAAATTGTTTGTTGGGTCGCCAAATTGCTAAATAAATAAATAAATAAATGAATAAATTAATAGTAAATCAGCATTTATGTTCATCTCATAAAAATCAAGATATAATGAGTTAAAATTCCTAATCGCACTAATGGCACATATTAGAATGAAAGTCAATCCAATATGCAATTAGGATTTTTTTGACGTGAGCAAAATAGCAATAATTGTAAGTATAAGTTAGGCAAGCTATTTGTTTTCAACAGAATTCGTTAAATCTATAGCAGCAAGTGAGATATTTCAAATTCCTTATGGATCACCTTGTGGAAAAGATGATGCAGAAATGAACATTCAAGAGCTATTTTATCTCCATTCAACTTCACACTGAATGAATATATGGCAACTCTGCAGTCTCTTTCATATTTCCTCGAATAAATCTCATTTACATTTACATATATTGTATTTATATATTTCACAATTTTCGACAATGACCGACACTATATTTCTTTTTCGGAACATAGCGATTTTCATCACGTTTAAACATATTCTTCTTTATCCCGGGACCTGCACATATTTTTTATTGCACCTTGTATATCCATAGTCAAGAATAAATATAGATTTCATACTTCTGGAACTACAATTGTAATTTTTTGAATTTTATAATTCATCTTAACGAAAATGCATCATATTGATCAAAAATGCGTACCTTCAATATATGACCTTCGATCGGAGAAATTACAAAATCATGTCGATGTCAGACACCAGACATCCTCATGACGAAGTAACACTCCATTATTTCACTAATAACACAGAGAACATTATGTTTCATCTACTGAAGACTGTGTTCGAACACAATCACATATCCGACGACTATACATACAATGTTGTTTCTTGGAAAAAGAATCCCAATTTCATCCAATTAATCGTCGAAAAAAGGCAACATTTTGAATGAATATTCATAACATGATTATCAAAGCTCTCTATTTGAAAATTTCGAAAACGTTTCGAGAGAAAGCATCAATCAAGAGGATACAGGTAAGAAATAGAATAAGAATGTAAAATAAGTATTGTTCAATTCTGTTTCTAGTGCCTTCATTATCTAAATTGTACATTGGTACATACTGACGTCTTATCTGACAAGCCTGCTCAATAACTACCAAACAAATGCTACCTAAGATGATATGATCTATTTCCATTCAATTACATTACACCTCACCACAAATGAAAAAAACAAAAGAGCAAATGTGCATTATAAAGTGCTCAAAGAAACAAGTGGACCACTGGAAATTTTGACAATTTTCAAACTGCTATAACTTTTCAAAAAATGAATGGATTTTCAATCGGAATGCAGTGTTCGGAAGATGCAGTCTTTCTGTTCAAGATTCACTGTTCAAAACTCGTCGAAGTTTTTCTGCCATTATACACCAAGTGTTCGAAAAAAGTATTACAAAAATGAAAAAGTTCAAACGCTTCCGTATTCCAAGGAAATTTTTTTATTTTTCTACAAATCGTTTTTTCTGAACGTTCAAGCCAATATCTCGAAACGGTTTTGGAATTTTTCATATTCCTCATACAGGATGTTGAAAATCGATTTTTTTTCATTTTTTGGTTTTTATCGCATCATTTCCGATTTTAAAATCATGCATGCCACATTCGAAGCATTTTGCTACGCATACGACGATGAAACATCATGGAGAATGGATTCACATTGCTTTGAAGTCATCGACAATCTCAACAGAAGGAAAATTCATTTTTTTTGGGAATGTTCAGAATTTGGCGAAATCGTCTGTTCAGTTTGGTGCTGCCATAACCATATGCTATGCTAAACACAATTCCTTCATTTGGGTCGATTGCTCTGCTCAATATCTCGGATTGATTTTGTGATTTTTCAGATAAGTCAATCTAAGGGGGCGTAAGGGGGCCCTTTTGGATTTTCCTGATCAATTCAAACGATAACGAAGATACAATGGTTTTAAGATATTCCTGAGCTGGCATGAAGTCAAGAAACCTCTTTAAAACAAGTTTTTTCATCGGATAGTCGAAAATTAATCGAAAAGTCAATTTTATGTAATCAACACCCATTCACGCAATTGATACCACTGCAACACCCAATATAATACCTCATGTCGAACCTTTGACAACTGTCATCATCCTACAACAATATCTTTATATTCAAATTCAACCAAAAGAAAGATCCGCTTTTAAACTTTGGGTGCATCAAAAATCATTATTTCTTGAACAAGTTTTTATTTCTGAAATTAAGTACCCAATAATTATCATTATAAATATATTCAATATTTTGTTGGTCCACCTCGTCGACTCAATAAATGTTGACATCTTCGAGGCATTGATTCTATCAAGGATCGAATGAAATCTTGTGGAATTCTGGCCCATTCATCACGAATTATGTTTTCCAAATGATTCAAATCATCTGGAATTCGTTGCCTTTCTGATAATCGGAGCTTTAATCGACTCCAAACATGTTCTATTATGTTCATGTCTGGGGAATTAGCTGGCCACTCCATATGATTGATGCCGTGCTGTTGGATAAATTCATGAACGATTGCCGCCCTATGTGGACGAGCATTATCGTCTATGAAGACGAATTCGTTTCCTCGAGCAATAGCTTCTGGCAGAAGTATAGGGCCAAGACATTGCTCGATATAAACCCTTGCATTCATAGTCCTCCTCAAGATGACAAGATCTGTTTTTCCGTGCCATGAAACACCGCCCCAAATTGTTAGCCCACCTCCACCAAAAGCAACTTTCGCACACATATTCAACTCCACATGTCTGTCGTTTGGTTGACGCCAAACCAACATCCTGCCGTCAGATTGATGCTTTGTCACCCTACATTCGTCCGTGAATAAACAATGCCGCCATTCCATATCCCATTCCAAATGTTGTCTTGCCCATTCCAGTCTTGCCGTTCTATGATGTGCTGTTAGAAACGGACAGCTCTCCTGCCTTCTAGCACGAAGGTTTCTTCTGTGAAGTGTGTTCCGAAGTGTTTGAGAACTGACGTTCAAACCTGCAGCTTGTCGAAGGTCTTCATTCAACAAGGATGCATTTCTCCTGGGGTTTCTTCTAGCGAGAACTTGCACATATCTGCTTTGAGCATTGCTGAGCTTTCGAGGTCTGCCACCTCCAAACCTATAACTCACAATGCCGGTCTCTTGTAATCGACTTTTCGCTCTCACCAAAACACTGTGGGAGACTCCATACATTTGGGCTGTAGCTCTTATTGATAAACCATTCTCAATAAGTCTAAGAGCATTTTCGAGTTCATTCCGAGACAATCGCGGCATAATTTTCGAGCACAATAATACCAGCAAAGATATTGTTGTAGGATGATGACAGTTGTCAAAGGTTCGACAGGAGGTATTATATTGGGTGTTGCAGTAGTATTAATTGCGTGAATGGGTGTTGATTACATAAAATCGACTTTTTCGAACAATTTTCGATGCGATGAAAAAACTTGTAATGAAGAGGTTTCTTGACTTCATGCCAGCTCAGGAATATCTTAAAACCATTGCAGCTTCGTTATCGTTTGAATTGATCAGGGAAATCCAAAAGGGCCCCCTTGCGCCCCCTTGGATTGACTTATCTGAAAAATCACAAAATTGATTCGAGATATTAAGCAGAGGAATCGACCCAAATGAAGGAATTGTGTTTAGCATAGCATATGGTTATGGCAGCATCAAACTGAACACACGATCTCGCCAAATTCTGAACATTTCTCAAAAAAAATTAATTTTTCTTCTGTTGAGATTGTCGATGACTTCAAAGCAATGTGAATCCATTCTCCATGATGTTCCATCGTAATATGCGTAGCAAAATGCTCCGAATGTGGCATGCATAATTTCAAAATCGGAAATAATGCGATAAAAACCAAAAAATGAAAAAAAATCGATTTTCAACATCCTGTATGAGGAATATGGAAAATTCCAAAACCGTTTCGAGATATTGGCTTGAACGTTCAGAAAAAACGATTTGTAGAAAAATAAAAAAATTTCCCTGAAATACGGAAGCGTTTGAACATTTTCATTTTTGTAATACTTTTTTCGAGCACTTGGTGTATAATGGCAGAAAAACTTCAACGAGTTTTGAACAGTGAATCTTGAACAGGAAGACAGCATCTTCCAAGCACTGCATTCCGATTGAAAATCCATTCATTTTTTCAAAAGTTATGGCAGTTTGAAAATTGTCAAAAAATTCAGTGGTCCACTTGTTTCTTTGAGCACTTTATATAAATATTTAACAATTAACTGGATCCTGTTGAAACAAGATATAATCATCTTTTCACAAACGAAAAAAAAACAAATTAAAATCATGCGAATTTATTAATTCATACAATAATCATCATATTTGGCAGGTATTTTCGAAATACGATATGGTCTACTTTCAGATTTACTGGAGCCCTCAATGCTTTCATCAGTTTTTCCCATGAGAGACGAATGTGAATATTTCAAATATTTCCTATTCCTCCTCAATTTACTTCCTGAATCATGTTCAGTAATATATGACCTTGGTGAATCATGCTCTCCAATAACAGTTCCAGGTTCCCAAATTCCATCCTTTCTACACTACACTGTTTTACCACTAACCAAACCGATTTTTTAACGCCTCGACACGTGTTTCGCTAACTATGTTAGCATCTTCAGGAGAAGATTAAAACAGTTTTAATCTTCTCCTGAAGATGCTAACATAGTTAGCGAAACACGTGTCGAGGCGTTAAAAAATCGGTTTGGTTAGTGGTAAAACAGTGAGGTAAAGAATTCAATGCTACTAAATGGCATATTATCAAAACAAAAAAATTTCGGTATACCTAATGCACTGAAGATTTCTTTTAAGACTGATATAACATCTGATGACTGTTTGGACCTTAATTACGAATCTCAAGCCATTTGCTATAAGCGTCAATCACAACTAGGTAATCATTGTTTCCATTATACATGATATCTCCTGCAACCCGTTCCCATGGTCTTTCAGGTACCTCCGGTTGTAGCAAAGGTTCTCTGGTATTATTTCTGGAATATTTTTCACATATCCTACAATTCTTCACCATAGAAGCAATATGAACTGACATATTTGGCCAGTAAAAATAATTTCTTGTTCTGAATTTTGTTTTATTTTCACAATAATATAGATAATATTTTTGCTTGCAAAGAAGTTGGAATAACCAACTTATCATTGACGAAAAGCAATTTATCCCCAATCGAAAGATCTTGACTTATTTTCCTATATTTTTCAATTTCGGAGCCTAATTTTTTTCTTGGCCAACTTGTCTCAGTGAATTTATACACCATTTTCAACACCTCATCATTTTGTCTGTTTCTGAAATTCAATTTTTCGCTCATCTGTCATAGGAATATATTTTGATGCTTAGTGTAGAATTTTGTCTTCATCATTTTCCACTTCAATTGTTTTTTCTTCTATGAGAGGTGCTCTAGACAAAAAATCTGCAATAAACATCAGTGAACCTTTCAAATATTGAACATCAAGCGAATATTTCAAAGTTTTCATTCTCAAATTTTGTAGTCTGCAAGGGAGCTGATTAATATTTAAAAAAAAATAGATTCGAGCGGTTTATGGTCTGTGTGAACTGTCACTTCATGACCATAAATATAATGGAATTTTTCACAAGCAAATTGTAAACTCAGCATTTCTTTCTCAATCTGTGCAGCGTCTTTCACCACCATGTAAAATAAGTATTGTTCAATTCTGTTTCTAGTGTCTTTATCATCTAAATTGTACATTGGTACATACATACTGACGTTTTATCTGACAAGCCTGCTCAATAACTACCAAACAAATGCTACCTAAGATGATATGATCTATTTCCATTCAAATACTTTACAAAGAAAAATTATCTGTTCAAACGGTAAGGTGAAGACCACCATGCAATTTTACACTAATTCAATCATCACCCTGTAGCAATGTTATCTGAAATTACAGAAGTTTCGTATTGCCACAACAAACTGTCAAGAGATTAGGCTAATCAACAGTGAAAACCGATTTCAAATTGATAAGGAAAATCGTGAGTTATTCTACTTTGAATTCAGGGTATATTTTGGACCACGACGTTATCAATGATGACCAGTTTATTTATACAGGGTGTTTCATGAGAAGACTCACATAGTCAAATGGTTAATAGGGGAAATCAAGACGGGTTGATGTATATACAGGGTGATTCACATAACAACCGACATAGGCCAGGGTAGGGGGTCCCAAAATATGGAAATTTAACGCGACTTACCTCTATACCAAGTTGCTTCCCTAAAGAGTTATTAGGCATAGCACTAACAGCATGTCAACTTGCTCGTTAATAGAAAACTTCCCGTTCATTTTAAAAACACTCAAACAACAATTACTTAATTGAACAACTCACTTGCCTCATCGTCAAGTTTGACGTTTATTCTCATAGCCAACTTTTGAATTTTCGATGATTTTAAATAACACACCTAGAGCACGCGTTCTCAGTTATTCGAGTTTTTGATGAAAATGATGAGGTTTTTTGAAAAATTACTAGAGTAAGAAAAGTTTTAGAATTGAATTGCCCACAAAACAAAGCAAAGATTTTCGAAATCCATCATGGGTTAACAAAATTATGTTGAATATTAATGGTGCGCCACCCGGTATACCCCCTTTACAAATTTCAATTAAACTCTAGTTACTGTCAAGTAACGCCCTAAATACATCCACAAAGTGTACCAAATTTGGTTGCTTTAAGTTCAAGAATAACGGAGATATTGATTTTTTTCAAAATTTATAACTTCACTTTCAAAGCCTATATCTCCTTAGGGAAGCAACTTGGTATAGAGGTAAGTTGCGTTAAATTGTCATATTTTGGGACCCCCTACATGCCCCTGCTCTATGTCGGTTCTTATGTGAATCACCCTGTATATGAAAATATTTTTTGACCCTCCATAACGAAGGTCGAAATTTACAATTCATTCGAAACGTTTTTGTTCCATATTTTTTTATTGAACCGGTCAAAGTGTGCCGAGTAAATTGAAGTGCAGTTCTTGAAGCATTTTGTCTGATCTTTTTGAATCTGATGGAATTTTTCGAGAAAAGTGGTCACAAAGTGAACTTTTATGACATAACAATGAAACATGAAATTCTCCCAAGTCTGGACCTGGATATTTTTTTTCACAATATGTTATCTTGAATAGTTTCAGTAGAGATACGTCACTGCCAAATTTCAGCAGTTTACGATAAATCATTTTTGTAATATCGGCCATCAAAGTTATAAAGCAATTTCACATAATACCCTGTATCTTCGTTATGGAGGGTCAAAAAATGTTTTCATATATAAACATCAACTCGTCTTGATTTTCCGTATTAACCATTTGGCTATGTGAGTCTTCTCATGAAACACCCTGTATATGCACCATGTTCTCTGTTATAAACAAATGTTGTTTCTTGGGAATAATAAAGTTGATTGATTGAAAAAAAAAATGGGTTAATGCGTTACCACCGATACAACAAGGCCTGCATGCTCCGTGGGTGACGTCACTTAGTGAGGCCTAACCAGCGGCTCGAAACGAAGAGCGCATATAGCGCTATACGGCGACCACGTATTTCGATTTTAGTTTTAGATCATCATTGAGCCGATTTTGCTGTTTTTTGAAGGGCTTCCGGTTAAAAAAGGATGCCAGTCGTCAACTGAGCCTTTCTTCGCACCCCATTCGATTTTATTATGGAAAAACGAAGTTTTAAAGCAAAAACCAGGATAAAACACAAATATCCACCTACAGCAACCCATTCGAATTAAATATATTGGCAAAAATTGTGGTGAAGGTAAACTTCACACCTACTTATACAGGGCCCGCAAAACATAAACTTATTGTGAGATTGATGGAAAGAAAATTGTGGAAAATGTATTTTATTTTGATTGACATGCCGTTTGTTACAATTACCAATATTTATCTTGGAGAATTACTATTACCTGAAAAAATAACCAGTGAGTGTTTTCAATTTTCTGTTGTTGGATTTTTCACCCAAGTGGATCGTTACACTTGAAACCGTAATTTTCAAGGGTAAAACTGCATTTATCATGCGATGTTTTTTTTTTGAAAGTTCGAAATTTCGCCTTCTTTCTCCCCTTATGTTGGGGGCATTTGAAGCTACTTGCTCTTATTTTGTCATTGGACACTTTATATACTCATGATGTACTTCGATGGCACATTTTTATATAGAAAATTCAACAGGAAATATGATTTTTATGGCGAGTTTTTCATATTTAGTGAACAAGCATTCCAGATGACGACCATTTAATCAATAGTCAATCAAAATACGAGATGTCAAATGTCAATAGATTGCTTTTGAATGACATTACACACGCCATTATTTTGAATGATATTCTTCCTTCTTTTCACTAAATATGGATTAATCTCAAGAAAATCATATTTATAGTTGAATTATATATAAATTATCCAATATGATGAAAAAATAAGAGAAATTTGTTCTAAATGCCATCCAGAAGACAGGTGAAAAAGAAGGTGAAATTTGGAACTTTTGAGTCAAATATCTTCATGATAAATATCATGATAAATGCAGTTTTACCTTTTTAAGTAGAGTGTTTGTAGTTCATGTTAATATGATAGTTGCAATTTGATCATTGGAATGAATTCTGCATTCATTGCCACGAGGCAAATGACCGTTTTCAGAAAGAAATTTGAGAATGAGAATTAAAAATGCCCGTTTATTATGAACATTCAAGAGAATTTTCTCGAATTCAGAGATGACTTATACTTTTTATGAGAGAGTAATTGTCTTCTATTATTAATTCATCATTATAAATTAAGCACTGTTTACCACTGAACTTAGATGGAGTAAAATCCTCGCGGTGAATTGCATATACCCACATTTTTGATAGCTCCTCGTCCAACGGGAAACTAAAAGCATGAACTTTTGAACCACCCACATAATTCCCCCGACAAAAGGAAACACAACACTTGAAAGGCATTGTTATTTCGCCGATCACAACACAAAATATTTCACAAAACAGTAATTTTTCCGCCAATTATTTTGATGAATAAACAACAAAAGAATTCGGGACCGTTTCAAAAACATACGTGAATCACCGATGAATTAAAATTAATACGAACTGACGCGTTAGTCGACAAGCGATAAAATAAAACACTGGCCTCTCTTGGTGACGTCACGAGCTGTTTACGTCAGAGTCTGCTGGCCTTGTTGTATCGGTGGTAACGGTTAATGCCCTACGATGTAGTGATAGATGGCCGAGGCCAAAACCCTCTTAGCACACTGACCTCGCTTGTGGGCATGCTCTCGTAATTGGGCTCATCGCACCCGTCGCCTGCGATCGACAACCGCTTCCCGCCACTTTGCCGCTTCTTCACCACCGAATACCCGTCATCCAGATCGCGTATCTTCGCGTAGGCCGAACAGTCGCTGGCGTCCGACGGCCGATGGCGCAGCTCCTCGTAGTTCGGGTCGGAGGCGGCGTTGACGGAAACGACCGTGGTGACGATGGCGCCGCCGGTAGCTGCTTTTAGTACTTCGTAGCCGGGGTCGGAGCTCGACATGCTCGACGGACCTGTGTGGACGGAGAAGAAATAGTACACACACTGGCACAATTAGGGGAACGGGCAAAATTTACACTAAATGTCAAATTTTTTTCTTCACGAATTGTAGCTTCATTCTTCACGAATACATCTGAGAAATAATTACCTTCAAACGATGAGTATTTCTATCATATATAGGGGTGTAAAGAAAGTACGGATTTTTCGGTATTTTTTGAGACATCCTGTTTCGTTTCCACTCACTTTATAATTTTATTTCTAATATATTTTGTTTATAATTTAATTGGGTATTTGGTATTAGTCTAAAAAAAATCTCTTTCTATTCTTTTTAATATAAATTAAATTTACTTATACAATTTTGGCGCGTTATTCTGCTGTGATTTTCCACAATCTCGTGGATTCAAACCACGGAAGAGATGACGCGAGTTTTTGGTGCGTACCTGCGTACCTCCCATGGTACGATTTGGTGACAGCGAGTACAGTCGAAAAATACACGTTAATGGTATGTACCACTGTGGTGTTGTGCACAATCTCGACCGACTCAAGAATTCTCTCGATCTCGCTCAGGAACATTTTGATCGACCACTCTCTCGATCTACATCCAATCTTCACTAAAGGTTAGTGGTTATATCACAGCTCGTTTTTTCTCATGTACTAAAGATTTTGTTTATGAGATATACACATATTCACAGAGTGCAAAACATAGTAAATAATAAATAAATAAATACAGTCCATTGATTCGTAGAAGATAAACACATCCTGTGGACTGAACCACTGATAATTGGAACGATTTCTCAACTTCAAATTGAAGCCCAATCTATTCCGAATATTTTCGTTTTTTATTCATCTTGATATCTTGATATCTCAATTATTCAAGAAAATACAGAGTTTCAAAGGAAAGGTGGATATTGGTTTCAATTTTACCACCTCGAAACTCAAATTGGATCTGGAAAAGTGTCGTTTCTTGACTAACCTAACCTAACCATGACTACACTTCTGCCATAAGAGACAGAAGCAGTAAAATCAAATTGTTCATTTTGTTCACCTCGGCGATATAGTCTTTCCCTGCCATCTATCGAATTGATGCAGATGCGACTCTCATATGTTAAAAGAACATTGGCCCACTGGTCATTTTCAATGCTACAGCCCTCGCCACATCAGTAGGAGTCAAATCTCTGATGCTGAATTTTCATCAATCAAATTCATGAATTGTGAATCGCTTGACTTTGACAATAATTAATGACATAAACAAAATAGCCAACGTTGATTAACAAAAATAGCATTTCAACAAAAGAACATTGGAGCAACTTTTATCACCCCTCCATATTCATGAGAGTATTCGTATATGGGTCTTTAAACAGTAAACCGATAGGTAAAACTGTGAACAATTCTCATCTTGAAGTAAAAATCCTCACAGAAACAAGTTGAAAAACGTTCTCCCCAGTTCGAGTTTACAGGTGGTAAAATTAATACCAATATCCAGCTCTTCTTTGAAACTCTGTATTTTCTTGGATAATTGGTATATCGAGATGAATAAAAAACGGAAATATTCGGGATAGATTGGGCTATAATTTGGTGTTGGAAAATCGTTTCAACTATCAGTGGTTCACTCCACAGTCTTAAAGAATACCGAAAAATCTGTACTGTCTTTACACCCCTGTATATGATATAAAGATGAATCGTTTGGAGGTGGTTATTTCTCAGATGTATTCGTGAAGAATCGAGCTACAATTCGCGAAACACAAATTTGAATCGAGTGATCGGTTCGAGAGAAAATTGATGTCAAACTTAGTGTAAATTTTACCCGTTCCCCTAATTGTGCCAGTGTGTGTAGTTGCGTTTTATTTATTCGATTCGGCCACCGGCATCACTTTGATGTGTCGTTTTATTTGCAACTTCTCCGATTCGATTGTGTCAATCATTCTGTTTTAATTCAGAAGTTAGATAAATATGGTATCAGAGGTCTACCATTGGATTGGATATCAAACTATTTGAACTATCGAAAGCAGTATGTAATTGTTAACAATCAGAAATCGGAAATAAGAGATAATGACATTGGTGTGCCGCAGGGCTCAGTTTTAGGCCCGGTATTGTACATCCTATATATGAATGATTTGAGCAATTTATTAATACCGGCATCACTCACGCTATATGCAGATGATACATCTGTTATCATATCGGATAAATCCGATGTACGGTTGACAGATAAATGCAACATAATTTTTCATAGAATTGGTAGAATGGTATTCTGCAAATCAGTTGTTTCTCAATGTGGAAAAAACTAAATTAATGCGGTTTCATAACCGACAAAAATCATGTGAAGACATTGCATTCAGCTCAGATGGCTCTTCAACACCAAATGTTTCCAGTGATAGTAACTGTGTAACATTTCTTGGTTTGACTCGTGCATGCACTGGAAAAATCACTGTCAATCACTGATATCCAAACTGAATTCGTTATCATATCAATTCAGAACAACTAGGAATGTTTTAGAAATTAATCAACTTCTAACAATGTATTATGCACAAGTTGACAATAGATTGCGATATGGTATATGTCTATGGGGTTTATCTGTATCTACACATGATGTATTCATTGCTCAAAAGCGAGTTTTACGTTCACTTGTCAATATATCGGTCCGTACTAGTTGCAGAAATGTTTTCCGAAATTATAGAATTTCAACAGTTCCTTCGTTAGTCATTTTTGAACTCTCTTTATACTCATTTCAAAATAAAGGTACTCTATTTAGTACAAACGAAGAAAGACATCAACTCAATAAATTGCCGAACTACTAGTATATCAGGCGGGCGGCAGACTGTATCGATCATTTGCCGTCGTGTCACGTCGCTTGAAATGTCACCGTTCTTCCCCAAAAAATTAACGCATCACCAAAAAGTGTCCAAAAGTTTGAGATACATTTTCGTCGAAACGAAACTACTTCTTCTGGATATTGGCGTGCAAACTGTATTCACATAGGAACTTGTTTTTTTATGAACACTGGGTGTAGCAGTTATAGCGTGTTTTTTCGATGAAGTTTGTAATATCCTGTAGTACACTTCAGCCTCATATTTTTTCAACATTTCTTTTTTGGATTCACTTCATTGCATGCAAGCGGATTCCTTGATTTTTCTCTTTTGGTTGTTATCTTCCTTTCCTATGATTTTAATATTATTCCACTCTGCCATGGTATTAGTTGAGTTCGGACACAGAAATGATAACTATTATGGTGTATCCCCAAGGGAATACGAAATAATATATTATTGTTGGAGGTTAAATCGGATAAGTTGGTTTGTCTTTGTTTATAACTTGTCAGCATCCTGAACAGAGTAAATGTTTCATGGAAATAATTTTGAGTATTTTCTTTATAAGTACCTCTTCATCATTGAACTTGCAAAATACTTTCAACAAAATTATGAATTCTGGGAAGTAATCTCCTTTATTTTCTTGAAACCTCCAACTATTCATCATTATTTGATGATGATAATTAAATTGCCACTAAAAATTTTGTTTTCAGACAAATTCATATTCAATGTTTCCGCCATTTTCAAAACTGCACTGACTTCGCAGGACCTATTAGAGCTCGTGCGAGAATTGTTGCACTGAGCTATAAACTATGTTTTCCAATGGAATTCAAAACCCGACACCAGTTTTACCAATGGAATACAAAATATGCACTCAGTGCGAGCCAATTTTACCAATGGAATTCGCTATTGTTTTTTCTTAATGTTTAGATTCATTAAGTTACACACCTTGCATTGTGACAAGAGCACCATAGTCGTTCCGCGCTTTTTCATTCAAAATTGTTAGAAATTGACAATGAATACCATGAACGTCAGTATTGAAATATAATTCCAAAAAATATTGAGAAGAAAGAATGAATGAAAATGTCCTACTAAGTAATGAATGGTGGAAATCTGAAGGGAATGGATTTCATTTATTAAAACCGCAAAAGGAAATATCAACCCCATTCTCTTATGGAAGGAATGTATGAAACGGCCTGGATGGAAAATGTATTTGAACACAAGCAAAATTTGTGAGGTATGTACAGTCGTATTCAAAAAAACAAGCGTACAAGTATATTGGAAGGAGAAATTAACGGGCTATCGGGAATGAATGTTTACCAAATGTTGACAGTAGAGTAATCATAGGTTCTCAAAAACACGAAGCATTGGCTGAGCCAATTTTACACAACGAGAACTAGAATGCCGAAATCTTCTATGTTTAATACTTGTACGCTTTTTTATTGAATAAGACTGTACTATATTATAGGCCCATATTTTCAAACAGAAGATTTCAAGATTGAGAGAATCTGCTGTTCTATTCATTTACAAAACAGACTATTTGAAAAGAGAATTCATTATCATCATCACACGAAATGCAAAACAAAACTATCATGGAGAAAGAGGAATTGATTGCAAAAGTACGTGATGAAATTGAAAAATTGAGAACGAAACTGAGGAAATCAAGTGAATTGCAACGTGATATATCATTAAATGGCGTTTTTAATACCGACCGAACTAGCTATACGTGTCTATTTTGTCATTCTTTTCATTTTTATAACTAATGTTTTGCAAAAAGTGCCGTATCGCTATAAATTGAAGTGGATGTGTATACCCTATTTCCATTTTCCATCTACGGCTATGATTGATTTGACAGGAAATCTAACCTCTAAAATCCTATTTGACAATCAGGTGCTACTATGGACATTGAGAAGATATTGAAAAGACAAAGAGCAGAATACACGTTTTGTTCTCAAATTATTACTCCATCTTACTGCCATTATTACTCTTAATACTCAATTCATCACAATAATGTTTGGCATTTACTGTTGAAGATCAAGTTAGCAATGCATGGAAGACTAAATAGTTGTAGATAAATATTATTTTCCGGTCGTTCTGTCGTCTCGTTCATTGAAATGGAAAACAGATAAGAGGAGACACCAAAGTATACCGGAACTAGCTTA